ATCATTTTCCACATGCCTTGGTAATACAAGAACAATTTTAGCATACTTATTAAATCTGCACTGCTCAGACTCAAAAGATGTATTTTCCCTAGTCTTAGATTTCATTAGTTCAGTCTCTATGAAAACAGTTCCAATTTACATCAACTATTTTCACAACAAGGCAAAAATGGCCTGAATCCAAAAGTTCAATAACCTTCACATATAAAGAACATTGTCCTTCTGTTGCTTTTAAAGATGTTTTCAAAAAAATAAACAACTGGAACAGATGTACTCAATCTAGTAATATGCAGAGAACAAAATTCCCTAAACTTTGTAGTAGAGATATAAATTAATTGATATATGTGCTCCTGAAAAGCAGCTTGAAAATCATATTTCTATAAATCTAATTTTATTTCAAATTCAGTTTTGGAAAAGGCAGTGGCTTTGGATTCTGAGGACCTTGACTCAAGTCTTTCTCTAGTGATTACTGCCAAAATGTCTTTAGTTAAGTCATTTGACCTCTGTGAGCCTCAGTTTCCTCATATCACATGAGGGGCTTGAACTAGACAACCTTTGAGGTTATCTTCCAACTTTGAAATTCTGCAATTTTGTGAAACTGTCTTGTAAGCTGCTGGGGTGCTATGCCATCTATTTTTTATGTTGTTTTCTATGACACTAAAGACAAACTCAGAAAATATTTCAGATTTAAAAATAATTTATAGTAGCAAAATGCATGGCAAAGCACACTTGCCAGCCCTTTCTAATTTTGCTCCCTCATGGGTAGAGAGGGAAGAGATTGAATGGGAATCTTCTTAATTTAAGTCATGGTCAACAACCTTGAGTACTTCATGTAGGCAGTCTATAAACTCTATAGAATAGTGCTGTCATATGTTCCATAAACTTCTAATGTAGCCCCAATTAGATTAGCTCTAGAAATACCTATCTATCCATTCACCAAAGGGAAGTAAATTCTGAATAGGGAAAAAAAGTTGATTTTTCACTTTATCCCAGGGCTAGTCACAGGCAAAATCTGTGATAACAGGACTGGCAAGGGCAGGGGAGATGGGAAGGTGGTGCAGCAGGCCCCCAGATTTTTTTCCCTTTTATCCCCTACAGTTGGCTCCTCCAGAAAAGGAGCGATCTTATTAGTCTTGACCTTGTGCAAAGTCAGCCACTTGTGCGGTATCAGTGTGAGAGACTTCATGTGTAAGCTTTACTTAGGCTTTGGGTATATGTGCAGCCAACCTGCAAGGGATGGTGGTCCAGAAATACCCTGCACATGAGTACTTAGACATGGAGGAGGAGCTGAGGCAGCACATAACCAATCTCCTCATGATTCATGTACAAATAAACATGCTTTTGCCCTTACATGGAAGTCATTTACTCCTGTCTCTAAAGGCAGCAAGCAGTTTGAAATCCACACCTACTTCACCCAACTGCTTACTGCCACTGTGTGCTAATAAAATACTTTTACCTTTCTTTTCCTTAGTTCACTTTATTGACCAAGTCAAGACTCACAGCAAGATTTCTTTTAACAACCCAATCCTCTCTACCTCACCTCTTCATATTTCATCTAAAAGCACTGTTCTTTCTACCTTGGCACCCTAGCTCTGGCAATGAAATTCTCAGGATAGCCTTAGCTTGGTTTTCCTCTGAAATGTAAATGGATTTTATTTTACTTGCTCAGTGTAGAACTACACTACATTGATAACTACATGCGACTTTGCCTTTCCTTGCTTATGTGGAAAGTTATGGGGGATGTAGAAGAGGAACTGTTGATTCTATTTCTCCCTCTCCCCTTTATTCACAAACATCCAAAGTACATGGATCTCTTAAAAAAGAAGACCATATTCTTTTTCATAGTGAACTTGGGCAAGAGAGAATGTTTGATTGGAAGCAAACAATTCTACCAGTTGAATGGAAGAAAGACAGACCAATCTCCAGGACTCATGAAGAAAAAGAAAAGGGTGACCAAGGAGCTGAGTTGGCAGGACTAAAAAAAAAAAGTGAAGATTTCCACTAGGAGACTTCTGACCAACTGTGTTTCCTACCACCATCACCAAAGGTCCTTCCCCCATACCACTTTGGTGCCTTTAGTCCCCACTCTGCAGTCAGCTGGAGCTGCCCTAAATCCCCACAGCCCACCCACTTAAAGTGTGTAGGTGGGTGAATCCACCTTCAACTTGTATAGTACTAGGAGATGTGTTCTTGACATCTCCAAAGAAGGTTCTCAATTTATAACAACATTTCCCATAAAGAAGTATCATCACATGACCAGAGGTTAAGTGCTACAGTACTAAAAGCATACTACAGGAAGTTAGGCAGCTCAAGGGATACAGTGCTAAGACCTGAGTTCAAATTCTGCCACAGATACTAGCTGTGTGACCACGGGTAAGTCATTTAATCTAGCTACTCCATAGAACTGTTATAAGGCTTTGTAAACCTTAAGGCATTACATAAATGCAGGCTATTATTAGTGGGCATCAAGTGGGTTTTTATAGGCTGGTCTGAGAACCCAAATGCCATTCACCACATTTTTTCTAAAGAATTTGGTAGATATCTTCCCCTCATAGATTTAAAAATCATCTTCATGGACACAATCCACTTAAAGTTTGTATGTGTAGGTGCACTGCACATGTGTGTTTTTGTGTGTGTCTGTCTCTCTATATGTGCCTTATGTCCCTTACTAAACTGGATTCCTTGAGGTCAGGCAAAATGTTTTATTTCTCTTTTTATGTATTAAAGCATAATACATTGTACTTAGTAGATAGTAATAAATGTTGAGTGGATGAATGTGCATAAAAAATAAGAAACATTCAGAAATTTTCTGTTACTTGAGCTTTTACGAGTTTTAAACTACCAAACTGTTGCTATTGTTGTTTGTTCTTTGTTTTCAAAGAGGACTATGGGATGATGTCAACTCATGTTTGAATTGGATTCAAGTGAGGCAAAGCTGCACAAAGTCATCATCCTCACTCTCTCACCCAGAGACACAGAGGTCCAATAGCAAGACAAAATTCAAGACAACTGGCAATAGCCCCAGATACAGTGGATGACCCTGGCATTGTCAATGTCTGACCAAACTCTAGGCACTTCACAGTGTCTACTTCAGCCACTTTCATGGCCATTGGAGCATATTTTTGTCATTCACCCATTCTACTGGGGGAAGTCTTCATATGCTTGGAGTAGACACTCTCATAGCTCACAGACAGGTTTGAGGCCCATGAGTTACCTTCAGCCTGGTTTAGCCAATCTACCAAGACAGTTTGCTAGGGTGTGGTGGCTGCACATGCTACAAATTTTTGGAAGCAGTGTCGAGAGTTGAGTGTTAGATAGACCCCAAAGATAGATGAAAAGCCCTGAAAAGGGCTCAGCAAGCCCTCATACCAGAGGTGCTAATCTTCCTTGAACATCCCATAGATCCCAAACTAACAGGCCACTGGAGACATACCTCTCTTAGGAAACATCTTCCAACCAGCAACAAGCCAATGCTATAAAAAAAAAAGTCCTCAAAGGGGGAAAAAAAGAACAGTGTTTATCAGTAACCTGATTCCTCTAGTGACCATGAAAATTATATGCATTTAAAATGTGAGCCCTCAAGGCAGAGCAAAAGCAATGACTTACTTGAGCTCTCCCCCAAAACCCTCCAAATACCTATAAAAAATGACTCTAAACGAATTCTAGAGTAGCAGAACCCACAAAAAACAGTGAAACAAATTTGCAGCTCAACACAACCTGGATGGTTGATAGGAAAGGTCTGTTGCACCTGGTTGGGAGAGGAGCACAGTTCAATGTGGGCTGCAGAGGCAAAGATGGGGCCAGAGGAAACCCACAACAGGCCTCAGAGGACTAAAACATGGGAAATTGTGGTGGGTTTGAGACTTTTCAACCCATAAATGCCAAAGAAAACTTAGAAAGTCAGTGGGAAAGGTCTGTTGGACCTGGGTAAGAGAGGAGCACAGTCTAGCCCTGGCCCTAGTGCAACCCTGGGGAAGTGGCCACAGTGGCAATAGTTGCTTCCGGACCTGTCAGCCTGTGGGGAGATCGAGTGGCAGATCAAAAGGGGATTGCAGGGATCTCTTTGCTGGTGTAGAGGCAGGATCCTCTTGCTTTGCCCATGCTTGGATCTGAGTCACAGTCCTGGGGGGCAGTCCTAGGGACAGAAGGAGCACTGGAGTGGTGGAGATTATGATAATGGAAAGAGAATCCTTATCACAGTTCCAAGGCATAAAACAGTGCTTGTCATTACTTATAGACCAGAGTACAGGCCAGGAAAAGAGTAAACACCTCGCCCCTTATCATACCACCTTGGAAGAACTGAAAATTTACAGGTCCCTACAAGTATCTCTGAAAACAGCTGCACAACAAGCCTGAATCTTGGGACAGTACACCCTCCACACTGGAAGCAGGGCACTACCTTAACAAAGAATCAAAAAGTTAAGTAATTGGCTGGGAACATGAGCAAACAGAGGCAAAAACTTTGACTATAGAATATTACTTTGGTGACAACAAAGATCAAAACAGACAACCAGAAGACAACAAAACCAAAGCTCCTGCATCCAAAGCATCCAAGAAAAATATGAATCAGACCATAGAAGAGCTCAAAAGGGATTTTGAAAATCAAGTAAGAGAAGTAGAGGAAAAATTGAGAAGAAAAATGAGAGTGAATCAAGAAAATCATGAAAAATGAGTCAACAGCTTGGTAAAGGAGACCCAGAAGAATACTTAAGAAAATAACAGCTTAAAAAATAGGCTAACCCACGTGGGAAAAGAGGTCCAAAGAGCCAATGAGGAGAAGAATGGCTTAAAAAGCAGAATTGGCCAAATGGAAAAGGAAGTCCAAAAGCTCACTGAAGAAAAGAATTCCTTAAAAATTAGAATGGAGCAGTCTGTCCATCAGCCTGCTGGGAGCAATGCATGAGGCCATGTCCACCATTAGACCTACCCAGCTCCCTCATTGCCTCGACTCATGCCTGTGCCCCAAGGAGCAGTGACCCCCAACGCACTCAAAGATGGCTGGGATGGGAGTGCAGGTAAAGACCATCTCCCCCAGAGACAGGCATACTCTCCCCAACCGTGGCCGAACCTACACGGGGATGCTTGAAGATGGGAAAACGTTTGATTCCTCTTGTGACAGAAATAAGCTCTTCAAGTGTGTGACGGGGAAGCAAGAGGTGATTCGAGGCTGGGAAGGAGTTGCCCAGATGAGTGTGGTCCAGAGAGCAAAAATGTCCATCTCTCCAGACTATGCTTATGGTTCCTCTGGTCACCCAGGTATCATTCCACCAAATGCTAACCTCATCTTTGATGTGGAACTTACAAAAATGGAAAGACAGGAATGGTTTCTTCCCCTAGCTCCCTGTTTCTTGAATTGGATACATGGAGGAGTCCAGAGTCTCAGCTTCAAGAAGAAGAATGCACATGAATTTGTATGGAGCTTTTCCCTGATATTCCACTATTTATTGTATAGACATATACCCCACTTGAATGTGTTATCACCTGGCTTTCCTTCCAACTCTTCCTCCTTGTACATGTGTTGTCTCTAAACTATATACTGTAAACCTCAACTTTTCATCTTTTTTGTTTTTGGGGTTTAGATTGAAATTGAAATCTTTTGGGTATACATTTAAGATTAAGTATATGATCAAGCATTAATAGCACATAGCTGGGTTAACCTTAGAATAGGAATTATTTGGACAGAGAAAATCTTTGCACCCTTTATTTTTTTTTGGATGAAATTTATCCATTATGTGTTTTTTTTTCTTTTTGCTGCTGCTGTAAAGCCAAAGCAGATCGAGTTGCTACTGAGGGCTGACATATTCTCCATGCTAAATGATTTCCTTGGAGCATATCAGTCACCCTGTCCAAAATGAAGGTGGAGAAGAAGCTGCTTCAACCATTCAACCCTCTTTCCTCTCCCCCCTCTTAACTTCTGCCTTTTCAAAGCAGATATTTTCGATGCAGTGTTGTGCATGCCACTTGGTGTCTTATCCATAGGACAACTTGGGTCAATATAAACCTATTTTGTTGATGCCTGACTTTTTTTTTCAATCTTGTGCTTTTCTAATGGATTTGGAGGACTTTTTAAATCTCTAGTAGTCATCAAAGTTCCACAACTACCTAAATTCCAAGAACTTGTAGAAATTTGTTTGTAGAAATTTTCAACACAATGAAAGCCCAGTCATTGTCACAGGAAATTATTGCATTTTCTCTAAAAAAAAAAAAAGCCCTGATGCTGGTCATCACAACTTCAACATCTCCTGTTTTTGATGCTCAGCTTCCCCACTGCTGATACCCCTCCCTCCACTCTCACCCCCCTTTTGCTGTCCTGTGTAGTGATTTGGTAAGAAAAACTGACACCACCCCCTCTCCCTCCACCACATATGAGTTTCAAGTTTTATTATTGCAATAAAACACTTTATACTGGCTTTTCTCAAAAAGAAATATAAAAAAAAATTACAAGTGTTGCAAATGGAAGCTAATGACTCTATGAGAAATCAAGAAATTATAATACAAAACCAAAAGAATGGAAAATTAGAAGACAATGTGAAATATCTCATTGGAAAAACAACTGACCTGGAAAACAGATCCAGGAGAGATAATTTAAAAATTATTCAACTACCTGAAAGTCATGTTAAAAAAAAGAGTCTAGGCATCATCTTTCAAGAAATTATCAAGGAAAACTGCCCTGATATTCTTGAACCAGAGCAAAAAATAGAAATGGAAAGAATCTACCAATCACCTCCTCCCAAAAGGAAAACTCCTAGGAATATTATAGCCAAATTTCAGAGTTCTCAAGTCAAGGAGAAAATATTGTAAGCAGCCAGAAACAATCCAAGTACTGTGGAAACACAATCAGGATAACACAAGATTTAGTAGCTTCTACATTAAGGAAACAGAGGGCTTGGAATATGATATTCTGGATGTCAAAGGAGGTAGGATTAAAACCAAGAATCATCTACACAGCAAAACTGAGTATAATCCTTCAGGGGGAAAAATGAAAATTCAATGAAATAGAAGACTTCCAAGCATTCCTGATGAAAAGACCAGAGCTGAGTAGAAAATTTGATTTTCAAATACAAGACTGGAGAGAAGCATAAAAAGGTAAACAGGAAATAGAAATCATAAGGGACTTATTAAAGTTGAACTGTTTACATTCCTACATGAAAAGATGATATTTGTAACTCATGAGAACTTTCTCAGTACTAGGGTAGTTGGAGGGAATATATATATATATATATATATATATATATATATATAGACAGAGGGCACAGGGTGAGTTAAATGTGAAGGAATGATATCTAAAAAATACAATTAATGGGTGAGAGAGGATTGTACTGGGAGAAGAAGAAAGGGAGAGGTAGAATGGGGTAAATTATATCACATAAAAGAGGCCAGAAAAAGCTTTTACAGTAGAAGGGAAGAAGGGGGAGAGGAGAAGGAATGAGTGAACCTTACTCTGATCGGATTTGTCTTAAGGAGGAAATAACATACACACTCAATTGGGTATGGAAATCTATCTTACCCTACACGAAAATAGGAGGTAAGGGGATAAGAGACAGAAGAGATGATAGAAGGGAGGAAGGATTAGGAGAGGGGGTAATCAGAAGAGAAACTTCTGAGGAGGGACAGGGTCAAAGGAGAGAATAGAATAAACAGGGGCAGGATAAGATGGAGGAAAATATAGTTAGTCTTTCACAACATGACTATTATGGAAGTGTTTTGCAGTAACTACACAGGTATAACCTGTTTTAAATTGCTTGCTTTCTCAACAAGGATAGGTAAGGAGGGAGGAAGAGATTTGGAACTCAAAGTTTTAAAAAAGATTGTTAAAAATTATTTTTACATGCAACTGAGAATAAGATATACAGACAAAGGGGTATAGAAATCTATCTTGCCTTATAGGAAAATAGAAGGGTTAAGGGGAAAGGGATAAGAGGGAGGGTGGTGATAGAAGGGAGGGCAGAATGGGGGAAGGGTTATTCAGAATGCATGGTGTCTTAGAGTGAGGGAGGGAAGAGATGGGGAGAAAATTTCTAACTCAAAATCTTGTGGAATTATGTAAATGAACACTAAAAATAAATTAATTCATTAAAAAAAAGAAAAAAGAAAAAAATCATGTGAAGAACACTATACAAAATGGTAAAAGAAAAATAAAGACATAGTTCCTCTATAATCTATCCAGCCCTACAGGAAAATAGAAGGGGAAGAAGATAAGAAAAGGGGGAGGGAGGTGATAGAAGGGAGAGCAGACTGGGGGAAGGTACATTTAGAATGCAAGCCATCTTGAGGTTGGGGGAGGGGAGAGATGGGGAGAAAATTTGGAACTCAAAATCTTGTGGAAGTGAATGTTGAAAACTAAAAATAAATTAATTAATCAAAAAGAAAAAACAGAAAAAAATGTGAGCCCTGAGAATTTTTTTTCTTGATTAGTAAGCAAACATAGTTCATTGCTGCAGTACATAACTGTGAATAAAAGTGTCCAGATTCATATGCCATATGCTTTATAATACTTACAGGTGAAAGTCCTAATAAAGAAGGAAAAGTTCAAACACAGAATTCCAATCTTAAAAACAGCAAAAGAAAATTTTCACAAATGGAGGAGAGTGGGAAAGGGTATCACACAGGAATGTGACATACTTCACACTAAGTTTGAAGTGCTTTTCATTTGAGAGCAAGAACTTTTACATTTTGCAAATGATTTATATTGTCTTTCTGAGCTTTCCCTCCCTCAAATTTTTACTAGTGGATGTTTATTTCCAAATAACACAGTAACAGTGGACAGGTCTTATAATATAATGCAATCAAGTATACTGTTCTCACTATACATCTCACTATTCCAATGGCATGACTCAGTCTTTTAATAAAGAAACTATGTGAAATCCAAACCTTTGATCAATATTCATCACCATAAATAAGGTTGTTTTTTTTTTAATTTAGCTATAGGTTCTAATGAAATATGCTCGATGTTAAGTTTTAAATTCAGAAATATGCTCATCAAAACTATATTTATTACATTTAGGGAGGAGGAAGAGATTTAAGGAAGAATAAAAAAGAGAGCATGCTTTAAATATATGTGTATGTATTTGTGTGTGTTATGAAAGCTATCTTTGCATAGTTCAAACGCTTTCATAGAGATTAGACTTGTTCTGTTTCACATAAGCAAGAACAATAGTTAAAAATTGCAATGGGACAGATTTAGGTGATGTCAGGAAAAGATGAATAACAATTAGAGTGGTTCAGTGATGAAGCACATTATCCACTTCCTGACAGAAAGGTGATGGTCTCAAAATCTAGAAAGAGACATATTTTTGGACATGATCACTGAATATATTCATTTTGGTTGACTATGCTTATTTGTTACAAGGTTGATTTTTTTCTCAGAGAGAGAGAGAGAAAACTTGTTTTATAATGCACAAGAACAGGGGGAAGCACAGACAAGCAGGACAATTTTGAAAGTAACATGTGGAATTTGTTATATCCTTTTTTTCCTTTTTTTAGAAAATGGAAATAGTTCCATATGCAATCCTCTTTTTCTGTCTTATTTTATGTTTGGAAATGCTCTGCTGTGTGTGTATGTGCATGCATATGTGTGTTTCAGTTCAAGTAGAATGGTCCAAAAATGGAGTATGCTGGCTCCAGAAGTAGTAGGTTCTATTTCTTCACTCAAGGTCTTCAAACAAAGTATACTTGAGTGTCTGTCAATTATTTTTTTGGTGGGTATTCCTTTTAGCCATAGATTGTTGGACTAGAAGGCCATGCAGCTTCCTTCCTACTCTGAAATTCTGTATTTAAACTGTGGTTTATCCAGCCTGGTTTACCTTAATCAAATCAGCCTAACTCTCATATAAATTACATGACAGTGTAGGAGAGAGAGTAAGGAAGTGAATTGCTGGTAAGGTTCCAAGAAACTTACAATGACTCAGCTAGGAGGGTCCAGCATTTTTCTCTCTGAACTACCTAACATGTGCTGCCCTAGTATTGTACCTCCAGGGAGGATAGTCAGTCCCAATTTCTTGTGATATGTCAGTTTCAATCAGAGCCTGTACTGAATGGAAGCTGGACATAGAACACAAATAAGAAAGAATCTCAGTGGAGATGATAGGGCCTGAAGACTTCTTTTTTGCCAGGAACATAAAAAAGTGAACAATAGGGAATATTGCTCAGTGGTGAGTACCTCTGTGACATAGTGGGGTTAACCTTATAAGCAAGGATTAAGTGACCTCAGCTATGGAGGTTAGAAGGTTGCAGGGGCAGGAAGCAAGCAGATTATTACGTCTGTTACTGATATTAACACAAGGACCATGTAGCTGATGGCAAATAAGTAAGATGGCATTCACT